AAGACATAGTAGATTTGTCTATCAACGAAGAAAAGATCTCACTATACTTACGGCATCTATGACAACTGTTTTTTGCATGTCCGCTGATATTTTGTCATTTAGGTTCAGCTTTTCTAGATTGATCTGCAGGCTCTTTGGTACCAACCCCATAGAGGATACTATTATAGGGATTATTTCCAATTTTTTCAACTACCATACTCTTAGCATTTCTATCGTCAGCTGTTCATATTTTCTTGTCTTCTCGATTTCTTTGGTTCTAATGTTTTGATTATTGGGTATTGCTATATCTACAAGTAGAACTCTTTGGTTTGTTTTGTTGATAATCACAATATCAGGTCTGTTGTGGATCACCTGGCGGTTTGTCAATATCGATTTGTCCCAGTAGACTTTATGCATTTCGGTCTCAACAACAGGGTGCGGTTTGTATGCATAGTATGGCGCTTCATCAGGTATATTTAAATTTAGCATTTTTAGGAATTCTATATATATATGATTGTCGCTATTTTTATTGTGTCGTTCGATATATCTTGTCTTCGCTAATTTTGGACATGCCGATAGTATGTGTCCGATTGTTTCCCGTTCTGTATGACATTTTCTACATTTGTCGTTGATATTTTCTCGAAGAATGTACCGTCTGTAGTTAGCTGTCATTACCACACGATCTAAAGACACTTTCCGGATAAATGGTTCCTTTAACTAGCCATTGAACGGATGGTTGAGTGTCTATATAATGTTCCTGATGGAGTTCACCATAAAATCGTCCATGCAACTCTTTCGCAGCCCATTCCCGCGCTCTCTGAGTGACGTCATTTGTTGTGAAAGGTAGGTAACGGGGTTATCTTAGATTTAGTGGCGACAGTTTTCGGTCTGCATCGACTGATGTTTTATATGTAGTTGTTCATCTGTTCTTGTAAAGTACAAATGCAGTTTCTTTATTTGTTCTTGGCTCAGACTCACTAAGTCGAGCCCCTTCATCCCATCGTCCTAGGTAAGTATACACGGTGTGTGCTGGATCTTGGATGATATTTTATGGTGCGCGTCATTAGCGTCCGTACCTTTCCGTTCAGGGTTCAAGTTCAGTTTGTTATGCTACGACACCAAAGGAATAGGTAAGTATGGATAGTGCAAATGTGTTAGTTGCAGTGATGTGCAGTGTGGTATTATTATTATTATGGCAATGTGGTGACTTTAATATTAATTTTAATCAAGAAAGCTCGATTGATACTATCAATCTGAAGAATCTTTTGGCGTCCAGTAATCTACAGATGCATATATGTAGCCTCCTCTACGCGTTATGCAAAGTTTTCGTCAAGTACAGTTGATTACGTTTGCTCTAATTATGAGGAGCATAATATATCGGAATGTTCTGTGTTGAATGCAGCCTTGTCGGATCATGAGGCAGTAGTTTTTCGAGTCGTTTGTGGTGCCCTATGTTCCGGGACTGCTTGTAAAGTAGGAAGAATTTTCTAAAGGCAAAATTATACTCGAATTCGCCAGTTGTGTGCATCGACCTCGTGGAATCATGTACTGGGCTCCCATGACCCAATTCAAGAGTTTCATGCAACTGTTCAAAAGCTTTTCAATAGTGCGTTTTCCATAAGAAAAATTAAAAATGAACCCCACAAGAAGCCCTGAGCCCTGGTTTACCAAAGGCCTCAAGGTTTCTCCAAAGAATCTTAGATCTCTACATATACCATCAGAAGTTTTACGTACTGTCCAGTTTTCCACCCATATTTTTTGAGTTATCGCTCCATGTATCGTAGATTGATTTCTTTAGCAAAGGAAACGTATTATCGTGACCGTTTGAAAAAATGAGAGAATGAACAGAAGGTAACCTGGAATATCATCAATGATATTCGCCGCAGTAATAAACATAAGGTAGTGGATGAACCTGATATGTCGCCTGATTGCTTAAATAAGTTCTACTGTACCATTGCTGAGAGACTCTCCAGTGAAATATTACCGTCTGTAGATCCTCTTTCCTATCTGTCAGATATCTCCGTCGGAAATTCCTTTTACTTTTTGCCTGCTGATTTGGTGGAACTTAAGACGACACTTCTACCCGTTAAGAATAAGGACTCATGTGGAATTGATAGTCTATCTGCTAAGGTCTTTGTAAACATGCCTGATTCTGTTTTGACAGTGCTCGTGGAAGCTATAAACTCATCTTGGCTGAATGGTGTTTTTTCGGCAGTCTTAAAAACTGCTAAAGTAATTCCGCTGCACAAAGGCGGAGATCTTGATAATCTATCTAACTTTCGCCCTATTGCGCTTTTGTCAACGTTATTAAAAATAATCGAAAAAATGGTAAAGTCAAGATTGTCATCGTTCTTAAGCAGGAACAATATTCTGAGTGTTGTTCAGTTTGGATTTCGAGAGGGCAGGAGTACGACTGACGCTATGTTTCATTTGCTCAGTATGCTTTTCAGTCACATTAATGATGGTGGAGTGACTGCGGCAGTTTTCTGCGACCTGTCGAAAGCGTTTTACTGTGATAGCCATGATATTCTGCTGCGTAAACTCAGCCAGTATGGCATCAGAGGGGTGGCTCATTATTGGTTTCAGTCTTACTTGAGTGGACGAACGCAACATGTATAAATGCCATACCATTAACTGGGGGGTACCTCAGGGTTCGGTGCTTGGACCCCTCCTCTTTCTTTTGTATATAAATGACTTGGCTGGTCTGAAAATTATGGGCAAATTTACTATTTTCGCGGACGACACGACGATTGTGTGGCACTGCCCAGATGTTGTTTCATTGAGTGCCAGTGTGTGTGTCAGATTTGAAACAAGTTAGGACTTGGTGTGATGCCAATATATTGTCTTTCAACCTTGACAAGACTAAGGTGGTTGCTTTTGGATGTGCTTTGGACGGCTTGGTTGTTGGAAGTGTTCCTGTTCCAAGTGTGTCGGAGTCTGCGTTTCTTGGGCTTACAATTGATCGTGAACTGAGATTTGAGCATCATATTCTTTCTTTAACAAAGAAAATATTTTCAGGCTGCTTTGCTGTGAAGCTGTCTACAGTGTTTACTCGGGAACTGGGTGCCGAGGTTGGGAGGTCAGTTTATTTTGTACTTATTGAATCTAGACTTCGCTACGGTATAGCTGTCTGGGGTGCCGCAAGTAAACAACTGTGTAACTCTTTGTTTGTAATTCAGAAGCGTGCCATGAGATATATTTACAGGGTATCACCAAGAATATCTTGCAGACCCTTTTTTGTTGAAAATGGAATTATGACGCTCACTTCTTTGTATGTCTTGGAGACTGCCTGTCTGATTTTTGCGAATAGGGAAAAATTTGCAAATCAATGTTCTGGATATGTGACCCGTCAGCATATGCACTTACGACTTCCTATACCCTCATCGGCTCTTATTAGGAAGGCTATAATTTTTGAGGGGGCCAAAATGTTCAACCATTGACCGCACAGTGTAAGGAAATCTCACTCTTAGGATTTTTAGGAATAATTTAAGAAGGACTTCAATGACCAAAGCCCACTACAGCCTAGGCGAATTTTATGCTGAAAGGTTTGACTTTCCTAATGCCCCAGCGACTATTCATGGGATTTTTAGATTAGGTTTCGAGGCTTGACTTTTGATTTCTTAAATAATAATTTAAATTTTGTTTTTGGTTTTAAGATATTTTTGTATTTAAGTTAGATATAAGTTTCGATTTCTTTGTTGTAAGTGCTTTTTTTTATATTGTTGTCATAGTTCTCTATTTTTTATTTATTATTATTAGGAATGGCTTTGTCTACAATTGTTTTTATGACAAAAAAGCATATTTTGATTTGATTTGATTTGATATTATTGTTACCTATTATTATTATTATTATTATTATTATTGTTCAATTTGCAGAAGATATATATTTTACCTACATCTTTCGATCTTCGAAGAGAAAGCTGCAGCTATATAGCCGATAAATTTGATTCAATATTACCCGAGAAAAAATACTAAATATATTTTTATTTTATTTGTTTCATTGATTATCTCTGTTCCTCTTTATTTTTTTAACAAAAAAAAAAAACACAAATTCCACATTTCCTGCTAAAGTCGTAAAAATGTAAATTGAAAAACCTGAAAAAACAAAATATCTTTCGTCAACGTACGCCCATGAATTACCAAATTTTTCAGATTCGAAATTCGCAGTATTACATGGTTTAAAATTCAACACCCGTGAACAATCAGAAAAAAAAAGGATCTGATCTAATTTGCTATGCACAAGAGGGAGAAGAAAATTTTCGAGACGCGTGGGTTCCATTTGGACATAATAATAAAAGGAATTCTTGCATTTTTTAAAAAGCGATTTTGTCGTTGATTATGATCAGCGATTGTTCTTCGAGAATCGAGACTTCAAGTGACATTGAACTTAAGTCAATAGACTTTTGATTTTGTATATGATTTGTTTCGGAATTATAGAATAAGGTAGAGTATTAGACATGTCCAGAAAGACATTTGCAATAATGGCAAATATACCTACTAAAAAACAGTATTCTGTCTGAGAAATAATAAAAGAAATTAGTCAGAACTATTCATGTACTGAAGAAGACAGAAACTTCTCCCCAAACCAAGAAAAATAAAAAAAAAGAAACTATAATAATTAACAACAAAGTCTCTAAAGAAAGCTCAAATGAAAACACAAGCGATTTTTAAGTACAGAGATTAAAAATTTAGGTGAAATAATGAACAAACAAGATGAGAAGAAATAACTGCTAATAAAAACAAAGTTAGAAAATGTAAAAAAACATTGAAAAATTGTTAAAACCTATAATAACAGAATTTCTAAAGTGATTCAAAAATCCTCTGTACTTTGATTCCAAAATGTATATTTTACATTTCATGACTAATTCCCGAGAACGGTGTGGCATTTTTCCTGAAGAAATTCCAATTTCAGTTATTCATCGTCCATCCAGCTCTTTTGATCCTTGCGACAGGTCAGGAAGCGCGGCTCCTGCTCCAATATAAACGCGTCCGCCAAACGAAAAGCGTTTCAGTCGCCAACGATTCGCGCTATTGTCACGGTCGATCCTCCTACACTTTCAACAAAAAAAACACAAATTTTTCCCTCCTGCAGTCTGTCGGTACCAAAGGCAGGAAACAGTTGTAGGTTAGTACCATCATCAGTTCTGGACCGGAAGGAATCAGCAAAAGCGTGCGCGAAAAATCGTAAATGACGCGACTTTTCGGCGGTACCAACGCAACATCGCGAGAAAGATAAGACAGATAAAGTAATTAAATTGGGAAGATAATCGAGATTAGTTTGGGTTGAAAATGACGACGGTACGGTTCGGGTGCGCGACTGTTGCAGGATTCGCTGTTTTATGGAATTTCCTCATGGTTGTTCAGGCTACTGGAGGCAACAGTGCTATGGTATGTTATTTTGGATCTTTAACAAACAAAAAAAAAACTTACCCAATGATATAATGTTACATATTGTACCTACCATATTCCTAAAATACCTAGTATCTTTTCGTATATAGTGAAACAATTTTTTTTGTTTGTTTGAAGAAATAATTATACTAATGTAATGGAAGAATGTTATGTATAGAAATTAATCAGCTGATACATTTAATAAATAGGTACAAGTGGAACTGCAATAATTAGGAAATTTTACAATTTCCAATATTAACCAATATATTAAAAACACGTTTACATATAAGTGATGATCTCATGGGTTGGAACCATATTGACCATAGAAATAAAATTAACATGTTTCATTTAATTAAGAAATTTAAGTCTTGATAAAAAAACTTTCAATCATTGAGATCTTGTTTAGTCTGGGACATCTGTCGAAAATCTTTTTTTTTTGATGTGGTGTGAGGTTGGACTTTCTGACTTCAAAGAGTTACAATTTTAAGTGATTCACCAATACCTGGAAAACAATTTTTTCTCTAAAAATTTTCATTGTATGATCAGACCTGTACATCAATGTACAAGTACTTAATGGAAACAATAATTATTCCACAAAATTAGCATCAATATAACTATTACTGGGTAAATCGAGGTAAGCTACATAATACTTAACCATTATACTACGGTAATGCATCACTATGCATTGAAATTGTTTTCAATTTGATCCATATTATTTAAGCAAACCTATAATTTTAGATTCTATATACTTACTTAATACAGAGTGATTCAATTCTCTTGCGTGTATAAAAACTATCTATTAAGTAAATAGTAAGTTAATCACCTCCGATGATTCACCACTTGTTAAAGATAACGTTCATTAACAAAAGTATGACAAATAAGTAACAAAATTATTAAAATATAAAAATAAGATTATACTATACCAACGTCGTCCTAATCAATTTAAAACTAGTTTCCTCACTAATTATTATCATTATTGTGTACTAATGAAAAAGTGTCGTAAAATCAAATTTGCAATAATAAATCAGTTACGTTACAATTTTTTAAATAAAAAGCCGATCCAGTTCAATTTATTACATTACTTATAGATATCTAGGCAACGAAATTCATAAAACCACAAAGCCGCAAAGCAAATTTCTCATTTTGTTGTAATTTTGTTCGACATTGGAAGATTTTTCATGTAAGAACCTTGATGACGATTTTTGAAAATATGATATCGAAGTTGCAGTAATTTTTTTGTATAATTGTCTCGACTGTCCACTAGTAATTAGTTTCATGGTTAAATTGGCTGTAATTATATAGGTGTAATAGATATAGGAAATTTGCTTAAAAATACAGCAAAATGTAAATAGTTTTTGGTTTTATTTAATGAGTAAAATATCTTCTTTCATAACATTATAATTTCATATTCCTATTTATGATACAATAAATTGGGGATTTCTGATTATAGTTTCTAGAGATTTATGTTCAAAGTAGTACAAAAATGTTGATTTTTTTCAGGTTGAGATTTTGACTTTGAATAAATCATTTGAAACCGCCCGAACTTCATGCTATGAATCGCTGTTTGAGAAATGTGAACGGAAAAATTGACACCTCATTGCTTAACGCGATGTTATCTCTGGAACTATAAGTCCAAATAAGTTAAAATTCAGGGATTCTAGTCTTTTACTGGGTTAAGAATCGCCGAAAATTTCAGCTTTCTATTTATAATAGGAAAAAAGTTATGATCTTTTATAGTTTTCAAAAATCTAAATCATAAGTCAGCTACCTTGGTACTAAAATGACGAAATTTCAAATTTTTTTATGTCAAGATTTTGTATTAGAATGATCATTTAGGACCTCCCAAACTCCATACACTAAATTATTCCGAGATTTGAAATTGAAATCTGAAATCTTTGAAAAAAGGACGCCAGGAAACTGAAAAATTGAAGAATTCACCCCACCCCACCTTGCTTAACGTGATTTTATTTCTGGAACTATAAATCCAGCGATCCAAATGAGCTGAAATTTTCAGGGATCCTCTACTATGGAATAAGAATCGCTGAAAATTTCAGCTTTCTATCTCTAAAAGATAGATAGAATAAAAGTTATGGTATTTTGAAGTTTACAAAAATCTAAATCATGAAGTAGGTACCTAGTACTAAAATGGTCAAATTTGAAATTTTTTTAGGTTGAGACTTTTATGTCTAAATAATCATTGGGAGCCCCTTAACTCCATACATTAAATTATTCTGAGATTTGGAGCCGGATTCTATGAAAAAAGGCACTCAGAAAAATTGGAAAATTGATAAATCACCCCAAATTGCTTAATACGATTTTTTTTCTAGAACTATAAGTCCAAATAAGCTGAAATTTTCAGGGTTTGTAGTCCTCTACTGGGATAAGAATTGCTGAAAATTTCAGCTTTCTATCTCTTATAGAAAAAAAATGTTTTTTTTTTTTTGAAGTTTACAAAAATCTAAATCATAAGGTACCTAGTATTGTCCGTCGTTTTTAATCTGACACTTTCCGTATGAGGAACGAGGGGATGAAGTATATGGCAAAAACAGGTGTGACGTCAGGTGACCATTGGCCTTCTAATGTAGGGTTCCACCAGGCTCACATTCTAGGCCATCAAACATCGCAAACGCGCATGTATGTTATGTATGTATGATTTTTTTTATATATTGTTAGGACTCTTGTGAGTAACTTATTCTCAAGTTTTCAACCCTTAGAACCTTGTGCTACTCCCGAAACTCTGGCACTTTTTTAGTTTTTCAGGAAACTACCTTAAGGAAGCGTTTTTTGGGTATCTCTATACTACATATATACCTATGTATTTTTTTTGTTATTACACTTACCTACCACAGTTTCCTCAAAAACGAAAAAAATAAAATAAAAAATATTGAGAACAATGAAATAATGAAAACAATGTATACTGAATATTGCTGATATGTATTTCTTCAAAAAACCCTACAAGCATGAGAATTTAACACTTCATATGGAATATATAGGTCAAATGAACGTACACGTGAAATAAACAACATAAACATACATATGAACTATTAAATACTATTCAGACAGTCGAGCACAAACACTAGAATTTTGGAAGGGCCGGGTCCCATCCAGTCAGGATCAGTGGGAGAGAAAGGCTGTGAAGATGGAGACGGGTCATCATTATATGTTGTTGGATCGTGTACTTCCTCATCTTCTCCGTCCAGGACGATGGAGGTGACGTTATTAGTGTTATTACAACTTCGCCTTCGGCAAGAGGAGCATAGAATGGAACACTTAAGCCCTGCCTTTCTGCAACTGCATGATCCTAAGCAACCTCTCTTGCATTTGCAAATCACCATTCTAAGAAGGGACTGAGAAGCGGCCTCTGCGTACATTGTGACAGGCATGAAACCTTGTCCGGTGGTGACCCATCCCCAGTCACACGGGTTTTTGTCTACCCCCAACCATTTTTGCACCTGGTGGTGGTACGTCCTCCAAGAATGATATTTTGATATTTTGCAGCCTCTGTGGTGGGAGACTTTGGCCGTTGCTACCGATTTTACAAATACTGAGTATCGCAGGGAGTTCAGCGTCCCCTCATCTCCTCCATATAAGTTCATCAAGATCCTCTCGCCAGCATTTTCTACTTGATCCTGGTTAGCGTTTGGATCAAGAAAAATTCCCGCGAGGTCTATCCAGTGTGTGTTTTTTTAGGACGTTGCACCACTTCAAAACTTATCGGAGCGACGTATTGTGAAGGCTGCCCTGTGAACATGTGATACTTGTCTGTCTTCATATGCTTTTCCAGGTCAAGCATGTCTTGAAGGTAGATGTTTTGGTGTTTTTTTTTTTCACAAATATAATTTGAATACAGGTCTCTTTGAGCCATGAACTATTTTTTCGAATCTTGAAGGTAGGGTCAGGCACTTTTAGCATAAAAGAAATGTCCTGCTGAATGAAAGAAGTGGAGTATCTGAGCTTGGACGTGAGACCATTGTGTTCAATTTTTTCCAATGCAGTTTTGTACTTGGCACTCATTTGTTGAAAAACCTTATTCTCGCTAGTCAGAAGGATCTCGTTTCCACACAACATTCTATCCAATTCAGTACGTTCACCACTGGTGAAGTCTATCTCACTCAATACCATTTCAGCTAATACTAGATTGGTCACTATGTGTGCCCACATGGCCATGGAGCATTTATCAACGCTATTTGCAGCGTAAATTGTTGAAAACAAATCCTTCAGACCACTACCAGCCACGACTCCACCAATACACCCAAGAAAGGACCCACCAAGTCTCACCACTACATTCTGCAATTCAGGTTGCTGGCCACTAGCAACAATATCTCGAGCTTTCCAGAAGAGTGATTGATCAAAGGTTACGAAGCAAGTGTGTTGAGAATGAACTGCTGTTCTCTTGCTGGCCTCTATAAGCGCTGTCAAAATAGTGTCGTAATCTATTGGTGGAGCTCGAATGAACGGTAGATACATAACTTTTGTGACCTGGAAATCCATATCAGATGTCTGCAGCTCCATAAAACCGTTCCAACCAGGTACATTTGGAGAGGTTAACCATTTCCCATACAACCACAAGAGATCTGCCGCTGAGGGCAGTATATCACTGGCCAGCTGGACAGCACCTGGTAAATCAGTAATTGGTATTGCAGATTGGCCACAATTTTTTCGAACTGTGTAGGATTTCAGTGGAATGGTTCCAAAAGAACTGACCGTGTCAGCACGCACATAATTCTTCAGACGAGGAATTGCTTCATTCGGTAGTACAGCAGAGAGTGGAGTAATGCATACGATTCCTCCCATTTCATGGAACATATTTTCTCCGTCTAAGGTGTTAACATTAACGTCTGCGATGTCGGAGACTATCTGCATAAACGCACCTGTTTCAATTTCTGGTGATGCTTCTGCTCGCGCAATTGTTGAACTTTCAAGACGCATTGCCTCACTGTGGCTTCATGAAAAACCCAGAGCTGCACAGAGGTTCACCAAGTGTTTTGAGCCAACTTTTC